CTCTTGTTTCCTTCTGCATGAAATACCCTCTCCCTCTTTGCCTATCCAAGAAAAACATCCCCTGAAACTTGGTTCAGGCATCATCTCCTTTGTGAGTCCTCCCTGACTCAGACATGGTCAGCCCTCCTTCCCGCATTCACTCTCTGCTTTGTATATACCTCCACCATAGGACTTAGCTTTTCTCAGTCTGCCTATTCTCTGCATGTCTGTCTCCCCTGTGGACCAGACTCCTTGGGAGCAATGAGCTGTGCCTTGTCTGCATCCTGTGCTTAATATCTGGCACCTGCTAGCTACCTCATAAATATTTGATGAGGGAACAAATGAACAAAGAAAATCATACTCAAAATCTATGTTTATAGCAAAAGTGTTTTTGCATAATAAAGAAGAATAAGCTAATTAAAACTACAACAGAAAACGTTTTCTCCTGCATCAGAAGGCTCACTGTTAGCAGAATAGGGAGCAGTGGATGACTCTCAGCCATTTCCCACAACCCTCCAGTTTTATAGAGGCTAGCATTCACATTGGTCCTGGCGTGATCGACAGCCTGATGAACCCAGACAAGACTAAGATAAACTACTTGTCCTCCAGTAGAATAAATATTTCAAATAAAGTCAACCCAAGAAAGTCAGGCCAAACAGCTATTGATTGCTAAAAGCCTGAACTCAAGCCCAATGAATATTCCAAAGTTCACCTCCATGCTGCTTGCCTAAATGGTGATCAATATGCAATTACTGCCCCCTCTAAACGTGTCTTACACTGCCTACCTGAAGAAGGATTTCACTTTTAAAATCTTTTGTTTGTTGAATTTGCTTAGGCAGGAAAAAAAAAAAGAGAGACTTGGCTGCACCAGAGTCTTTTGAATTGTGTTTCAAACAGTTCTGTGTTATTTGTGAAATGGTTTGAGCGTATGCTGAATGGTAACTGAAGGTGCTCTATTTTATGACCGCCATTCATTTCAAGAGGCCTTTTCCTGAGTGACTAAACAATACAGATATTATATCTCAATTTCCTAAATTTTGCTCACATGGTTATCTGCCCTAGTCATGACCTTTATAAATTCAAGTTTGTAAGATGCTAAAATCCAGCTGCAGTGAAAACAAGTTTCTGTTGGAATTTTCATCTTAATACAAAAAATTCCTTCCTACTGAGTTTGGAGCCTTGTTTACCTGGCTTCTCATATTTAAGATTTCATGCTTTTCTGAAATAGGCCTTTTTCATACCATTGCCATAGTCAGAACCTTTGGTCATTTCTCATTTTTGTTGTTGCCAGAGTCTCCTAACTGTCCTCTCTTACCCCCAAGTGCTGTCATTCCCATCCCTTCTTCACACTGCTGCCGGATTAAGCCTTCTAAAATGTATCTGTCCAGGGCCCTCCCTTATTTGAAATTCTCACGCCTTCTCAACATCTACAGGATGGAGCCTGGGTTCTCCGACAGCACGGGTGGAGCCTGTCATGACCGTGTTCCTCCCCGCCTCTCCTCAGTTATCTTCCACCGCTGGCCATTCGGAACTACCTCTAGTTCCCTGGCTGGCACGCTCCTACAGGCTGCACACACCTTTGCACGTGCTGTACACCCGCCACTCCCAACAGTGTCCTCGCTCTTCCTTCTCTGCCTAGGAAATACTCATTCCTTAGACTTGGTGCAGAAGTCACCTGCCATTTGGCACCTTGACTGACTTCTCCCAGATAAGGCAAATTATCTCCTCTTCTCATCATCTTGGACTTAATTTCCATTGCTTCAGACTTTTGAAAGCATTTTTATTTACCTCTTCTTAAATCGCTTAAAGACGAGGACCTTGTAGTTCCTAGCAGCTAGCATTATGCCTGCTGCATAAAGACATACACTCAATAGTATATGCCTTTTTTTCTTTGAAACTCAATAGTTGGATTGACGGGCATTTGTGAATCTTTGTATTGTTTTGATTGATCCACAAGGGAAATAAAGATGGGAATAGGTTAACATGAAGTAGGATGGCCAGGTCTCTCTCTTTGCCCAGGATTGAGGAGTCGTGGGATGTGGTGCTTTCAGTGGGACAGTCCTAAGTAAACTAGGATGGCCTGTAGCTCCAAGGGGCATTGTCAGCAAGCTTTGTACCTACTCTCCTTTCCTCTACTGTTGGGACCCAGTCCTGGCTGGCTGGTCTGACCCAGGATAGCACTCTTTGTGAGCGGTAGCACTTTAATAGTACAGTGTTTTAATAGTGTTGTGTCTACAAAAGACTGTCCAAAGGGGATATTATTTCTGATTCCTTTTCTTCGGCTTTCACACGAGAAATTGGATGAAAGGCTCTGGGTTATTACCCCGTTTTTGATGAGTACTGCCTTCTCTTGCAAGACTAGTCACTTCCTTCCAGCTGTTTATTTCTCCCTTGTTTATCTTTGGTCTCCTCATCACCATTGGCTGTTCTTAAAAATAGTAGTTTAAAAAAATTTCGACCCGGCTACCCTCTCAAACTGATGGGGTTCCTCCTCCAGGCTTTACTAAGGCATAACCTACACTCACCCCTCTTACTTTCTCACCTCCTTTTACTTTTCGCTCCACTTCTGCCCTACCACTGCTTTCTGGAAGGTTGCTAGTGGCTTCCTGATGGTGGAATCTGGTGGCCATTTCTTTTGCTTTTTTGACAGGCTGGAATCTCTTCAGAAACTGTCTCCTTCCTCTCACTAAAGTATGCCTTGCTTGTGTGCTCACTGTACTTAACTTATTATTTTGTTACCTAGTTATTTGTTCATTTATTTTAAATATTTACATATAGATTATTCTTTCCCCACACTCTCCCAAATACATGTAATTTGTCCCTCTCACTTTAATGTAACACATGACAATCTCAGAACCAACACATTGAATTGCATTCCAGAAGTGACTCCTGGAATCACTTCTTCACTTGGATGCCTTCTTGTGACAGCCTTTGATACAGCCCATCTTTCCCTCCCTGAATGAATCTAGGAACGCTCTGCTCCTTGGTGTTCCTCAAACACACCAGTTGCCTGTCTACAGCTCATTTCTATTTCAGGACCTCTGTGCTTGCTGTTCCTCCTGTCTTGAATGTTGTTTTGCCCCTAAAATGTACATGACTGATTCATCTTATCACTCAGCAGTGTGACTCCTTACGAGGCTTTCCTTAATAACTGAATCTAAGAAATCCACGCCAGTCATTCCTTCACATGGCCTTGTTTTATTTCCTTGACACTAACCATTAACAGGTATCTCAATTTCTCTTTGTCTCCTGCTGTGAGAATGTAAATTGCTTGAGAACTGGGACACAGTCTTTCCCAATCATGTGAGAGTTATCCAGTAAATATTTGTAGATTGAATAATACATGGGGAAAAATTATATGCTGATTTATACTTTTCTCTGATCCTTTCATATTACTTTGGTCTCCCCAGATTTAGCTTCTTTTTTGGAAGCAGAACCCATTTTTTACTGTTTTCTCTTGTGCCTACCACAGTGCTAAGTAGGTGCTCAGTAAATATTGCATATTGGTTTGGTTGGTTTATTTACCAGCGGTAGCAAGATAGGAAATAACTGACTTGCTTCTCTCTACTTCAGAGTATTTAAAAAAAAAAAAATTAAGATTGTGGAAAAATTATAATCCCTAGGGAAGTATCTGCAAGAATAGCAGCCAATGGCACTATTATTCTATGACCTTTTGCTTCAAGAGGAAAAACACCTTTTTTTTTTTTCTTGAAAATAGTTTATCTTTTTTAATTCTACATGTGCATTATGGAAAAATGAGAAACTGAGATATAGGAAAAGGAAAAATAAGATGCAGGAAAAGCATCTGACACAACCCAACATTCTTTGATACCAATAGTTCAGCTAGGAATAGAAGAGAACTTCTTTGACCATTGATAAAGAGCTTCTGCAGAAAACCCATAGCTAACATCCTGCTTCATGGTGAAAGAGTGGATATTTTCTTCCTAAGACAAGGACAAGGATTTTCACCCTCATCATTGCTGCTGGGCATTGTCCTGGAGGTTCTAGCCAGGGCAATTAGGCAATATAATGGAATAAGAGGCATCTATATTAAAAAGGAAGAAGTAAAACTGTTTGCAGTTAACATAATATATATAGAAAATCCTAAGGAATCTACTAAAAGATTATTAGAACTAACAAACAAGTTTAGCAAGTTTGCAGGTAGTAAACCAGTTTTATTTCTATTCACTTGCAATAAGCAATCCAAAAATGAAACTAAGCAAACAATGTTGATAGCAGCATTATTCATAATAGCCAAAGGGTGGAAACAAACCAAATGTCCCTCAACTGATAAATGGACCAATTGTGGCTTGTGTTATTCGGCAATAAAAAGGGATGAAGTACTGATACATGCTACAACGTAGATGAACCTTGAAAACATTGCCAAGTGAAAGAAGCGAGTCATAAGAAAACATGTAATATATGGTATCTACTTACATGAAATGTCTAGAATAGGCAAATCTATAAGACAGAATGTACATCAGTGGTTGCTTAGGGCTGAGATGGGAAGAAGAGGGTAGGGGGTGATAAGAGTAGGTGGTTTCTTCTCAGGGTAATGAAAATGTTTTATAATTGACTGTGGTGGTAGCTGACAGATCTGTGAATATACTAAAACCCATTGAGTTGTACATTTCAAATGGTAGAAATTGTATAGTATGTGAATTGTCTCAATAAAGCTGTTAAAGAAAAAAGAATAATGAAATGTCTGTAATCTCAACATCATGAAATAATCTCTTATAATTTTAATCTCTTTCTTTCCAGTCATTTTTAATGTACATTTTTCATGTGTAATTGTGGTAATGCTTCATAAAGAATTTTGAGTATTGCCTTTTGTGTTTATCATTCTGACCATAAGAATTTGTCCACCCTATTGTAAATGTCTTCTCCTAATGGTTAACAAGTATGTAATATTTCCATTTAGATATACAATGTGTACGGCGGCAAATACCTTTTTTTTTTTTTTCCCTAAGCACTATAATTTCGCCATGAAATACCTCATCTGAAACCTCTTTTGTTCACAGGGAAAAGAAGATCTCCCGGAGCAGTGCCCTGAAAGTGCTGGACCATGCCATGATTGGCCCCGAAGGCACAGACAACTGCCATAAGTTTGTTGACATTCTTGGCTTACGAACCATCTTTCCCCTCTTTATGAAATCTCCCAGGAAGATCAAGAAAGTGGGAACCACTGAGAAGGAACACGAAGGTAGGGTTCACTGGACGAGTCAGCCTAATGTAGGTGCATTAGGAGAAATAGGGAAATGTGAACTACTTTGAAAAATTCTGATGTGTTTGGGGGTAGAGAGGAAGAGTGCTACCTTTTTCTTAGTATTTTCTTATTTTTCATGAATGAAAACGAGACCCCAGGTGACTGATAGCCTTTGTTACACCAGTTCTCTGCTTGTTTGAATCCTGGTGGTTCCATTTCCTTCTGGACTGTTAATAAGTCTGTGTGTGAGGGTTTTGTTTTCTTCACTATCATTTGTAGCGAGGTGTCTCTCTGATGGAAGACCCTTTTGAAAAGAGTAATGAGGTGGCAACACATGTCACCTCCAGAGTGGTGCTTTCGTGTATTTCTGTACTAAAGTATGATTCAGCCAACATCAGGAATTGCTGAAATAAACTATTTATAGCCCAGATTCCCCTTTTTATGTTTCTCCTCCCTGATGGTGCACACTCCCAGCAAAATGCTGCCATGAATTGCGACGCTGTAACCAGAGTAGTTTCTGCTAGGCCAGTCTCTTCCTGCTGTTGTCTAGTGGCCTGCTGCAGCCCTCTCCCCAATAAATAGCCACAGTGCAATCTGGAAGGCCAGGGATTTATGAGCATTGACAGTTCTGCTGGAGCCCGGCAGACACTTGCACCAGGGAATTTACATGGTTGGATGGTTATTTTAAAGTGTGGGGAGCGGGTGGAGAGGAGTGGGGAGGTAGTGTGTTGAGAGAGAAGGAGAAGCTGAGCTGACTGGCTCATTTGGTTGTCTTCTCAGAAGCAATGTTCGTCCCATGGTTTAGGAGGCTTTTTTTTTGTCAGTGCTTGGTGGAATTGGCATGGGTATCTGCAGGATCTTTTGTATTCCTCACCCTCGTAGACAAAAGTTTGAGAACTCCCACCTCTCTCTTTTCCAATTGACTTGGCTTAGTCTCTCCCAACTTGGAGTGGCTAAAGGGAAGGTAGTGTGACCTACCTTCAGTGGTTACCTTCAGTGATACCTTCTCTATCAAATCAACTCTCCAGAGACAACAGGAAATCTGGCTGGAGAAAGGAGGAACTGGCCTTGCAAATACTGTGGCCTAGAGACCTGAGAACAAGTAGAGACTTCAGTTTAACTCATTTTGACCAAACGCTAGCTATAAATATGTTAACCCCATGCTAGATTTTCCCCACTGAAAATTCAGCAAAATGAGTCCCTGGGAGAGGGATTGGAGGGGGTCTTGGAGATCTAGAAGATAAACTTTTCAGACAGTCACCATTCTTTGAAAGCCTGCCAGTTTCCTGGCCCGGCTGCACTATTGGCTATCATATTTAAAACTCACAACCTATGAAGTATTGGTGGCATCCTTATCTTTTTTTTTTTTAGAGGAGATGAACTGAGACAGCAGCCGAGCCGTGGGTTCTGCAGCTAACTAGCTGTGTGACTTTGGAACCTTGGCTTAACTTCCCTGTGCTACATTTTCCTTTCTGGTCTATAAGATGAGGGAAGTGGACTAGTGAACTAGAAGCTCTGATAGCCGCACCTTCAGATTCTCAGGAACAAGCCCTGGTTGTCAGGGTTGCCTGTGAGCCAGGACACTCCTCAGGGTCGATGCTGTGGCTGACCTGTGGGGTTCCACCGAGAGACCTGAGGCTGCATCTTGAGTGTGCTGGAAGAGAGTGTGAAGGAAAACAGACCTTAGCAGGCTCCTGCTCTGTTGGCATGGCACTGAGAAGAGGAGGAAGTGACAGATTCAGTGAGCAGCTACTTTTCTTCTGAAAAAATGTGCCCAGTGGCCTGCTGGCAACAGTACATTTGCTTTAGAGTACCCGCATTAGGAATGTGATAGCATTATGTTAGTGAGGGCAATGGCTTGGTAAGACATCTCCTAGATGGCATGTTTGGGCTGTAATGGCTGGGGAGGATGTGCTCTGCATCCTGAGTGGACCAGCACCCAGACAGCAGAAGCGAACCCCAAGAAGAAAGCATGGCCCTCCACTCCTGCCACCCCTGCCGGCTGCCACTCCTGCAAACCGACCTTCGGCCATGAATGGCCAAGTGAGAATGGAGGCAGAGCAGAGCAGTGCACACTGTGCAGGGTTTTTTTGTCCTATCCTCTGGGTAAGACTGTGCTCTTCTTTGGCCTCTGTGTGCCAGCCCTTCTCACGTAAGTGGGCCAGATTTGTGTGCTGAGCTAGAGCACAGTGGTCCCAGAGCATCAGGAACACTGGTGGGTGTGCCCAGCTCATTCCTGCCCCCGGGCTTCCACCACGCTCTTCCCTCCATGTGCAGTGATTTTCTCCGACCTGTCTGCCTGGCTATCTTTTGGTTGTCCTTGATCTTTAGTTTTTCTTTTTTTCTTTTTTCTTTTTGAGACAGAGTCTCACTCTGGTGCCCAGGCTGGAGTGCAATGATATGATCTCGGCTCACTGCAGCCTCTACCTCCCAGGTTCAACCGATTCTCCTGCCTCAGCCTCCTGAGTAGCTGGGACTACAGGCGCCCACCACCATGCCCAGCTACTTTTTGTGTTTTTATTAGAGATGGGGTTTCACCCTGTTGGCCAGGCTGGTCTTGAACTCCTGACCTCAAGTGATCCGCCCGCCTTGGCCTCCCAAAGTGCTGGGATTAGATTATAGACATGAACCACTGGGCCCAGCCTGGTCCTTAGTTTTGATGTCACTTTCTCAGGGAAGCATGTCATGAACCCCTAGACTAGGATAGAATCTTCTGTTCAGTGGACTCTTGGTCTCAGGACTCTGCCTTCATAGCCCTTGAAATTATGGAACCAATGGCCTTGTCACCTCTAGATCCCATTGCCTGGTCCCATGGTGCTTGGCATGTGGTAGATGCACAGTAAATGTTTCTTGACTGTGTAATGAACAGCCATTTCCCTGAAAGGCTCATTGAGGACAAACATGGGTTTGGGGCTTTCCTCAGAAACTGACAAGGTTGAAGTCAATACAGTTGATTTCAGTTCAGATTGATGGTTGTCAGTCAGTCATACACATAGAGTGAATGGTGTTTCCCCAGCTTGTTTGGAAGCTAAAATGAGTGGGTTGCTAGCCCTAAGTTTTACTCTGTCACATTGGCTTGGAGATTATGGCAGAACCCCCACTTTAGAGCCACACCCTTAAGAGCTTTGCTGTACACAGACTTTCCCTACAGGCAAGGCCACCCTATGACAGGCACCTAGGGGTAGCCCAGCTCCTAGGTGGAGCACTGAGGCCTGGGAAGCAGCTCGCCAGTCCAGAAGCTCTAGAGAGCTACCCCACACTCTTCCCTTTCTGTCTTGTGAAGCTTCAGGGGCTTGTCGCTGTTGTCCACAGGAGCACCAGGATGGCTAACTAGCAGAAAGGAGAGGTTTATTGATGATAGGAGTTTGTAAACTAGGAAGAGACAATCTGTGGCGTGGACCAGCGGTGCTCTGTCTTCAAAAAGTGAAAGGGCAGGTTGGGTTTTAGGCCTCACAAGGTCTGTATTAGACAACAGAGTCATACACGTTCAGCAGTTTTGGGGAGAAAGTTACACATACTATGAGAGGAGTCAAGTGCATACGCAATGGGTAAACATAGGTAACACATCCCGCGTTCACTCTGGGGCGGGGTTTTAGCGTTAAAATGAGGTAGCATTTGGCTCTTTATGTCAAAAGGTGAACTGTAAGACGCAAAGTGTGTGTACAGTCTCTCTGAGCTTGTTGAAGTCTGCAGTTGCTTATCAGAAAAGAATGTTTGCAGAGCCAATCCTCTGTCCAGTCAGAGTTCGGAGAGGTCTGATAATTTGCCTGATATTGGTAGGGAGTTTCACAAGAGGGTGTTTTTTTCTTGTAGCCATGGCAATTCAGGGAGTTACTCTGCCAGCTGAGCCCCAAACCCTCCACCTGTAGGTAACATTTATTTCCTTAACCTTAGAGTCCATCTTAGTTGAAAAAGGGGCATCTGTTTGGTCCCTCCAAAATATCACACATTCTGGTTTGCCTCTTGAAGTCCATCCTGGTCCAATCATAGCCCCTGTCACCTCCTAGAGCCTTCCCCTGACTCCCAAAGTCACAGTGCAGCCTGAGGTGGTACGGATGGATCTGCTGCTTATCAATTGTGCCATCTTGGGCAAGTTCCTAAGCTCCCTGGGCTGCACTTGTCCTATCTGTAAAATAATGAGGCTAGAATCTACCATGAAGGATGTTTGCAAGAGTCAGATGAGATGACATGTAGATGCTTAGCATAGGCCCCAGAATAAAGCAGGCACCGTAAGAGACCTTAAACTGTCTCTACTTCTGCACACCCTGGCTTTAGTCACACATACCCATGGGGATGGCCAGGCAGAGAAAATGCCCACACCTCTACTGTGGGAGGACCAGGAGAGGGTAGGTGGGTTTTACTGGCCTGTGATCTAATTGCTCCATGATAACTGTGGGCAAGTGGGCAAATCCATTATTGATGGGAGTGTCAGGAGTCAAGCTATGCTAAGTAGTGAGTGACATATAAACAGCTGTGTTCCCAAACCAACAGAAGGGTTTGAGAGATGGGAGTTTCTAGATTAAGGTGACTCTAAAGAGGGGAGTAAAAGCAAAACTGCCCTTACAACCTAGAATGCTAGAATTTAGTTCCTCTTTTGTGATTTGGGATGGGGAAGGAAAAGAATTATTATAATTGAAATCCATTCAGGTTTGCATAATAAAACCTTCAGAAATAGATCAGGGCAGGCACTAAGCTTGGGGGATGGGTTGGAAAGAAATGATTTGCCCTTGGGTGCACTAGCACGATTGGCTGCCTCCTTGGTTTTAAAAGAATAGCACAGTATATATTGTCTCCTTGGTATTAACTGCTTCAGAATAGGAGGGAAAAAGAAAAGAGGTGGAAGAAGAAAAGAGGTGGGATCCAGAAATGGCATCTGACCTTTACTTCTTGTCTCTTTTTAAAATTCTTATTAAAATAAGTCCCGTTTTCCTCGTATTGCTTCATTAGGTATGTGAGTTATTGAGTTTGTAGCAGTTCTAGTTAATTGCACTGTTTTA